CCTCTTCCCAGCCAGTGGGGTCCTGAGCATCCCCGGGCCTGGGCTCATCTGCTGGGAACCCCACAGGCCAGCTGCTGGAGCCTGGGCCCATTACTGCCTGGCTCTGGATTCCTCACTGAAAATGGGGACCACAGCTGAGTCCCTTATCCCAAAGCACCCCACATTACACATTTACAGGGGGTAACAGGAACAACTGATAGCACTGGCTGGAAGGGGGTCTGGATTCAGGGGTGGGAAGACTTTTCACATTATACTTTTTCATACTTTCTGAATTTTGAAATATATGAATGTTCACTTTTCAAAAAAAAAAAAAACACAAGTAACATTTTCAAAATGCAAAGACCAAATTAATATGCAGCCTGAGGCCATATGGGCCCAGAGGAGACTGGCTGTAGACAATAACAGCCACTGTGGCACCAGGAATGTTCTTGGAAGAAAGGGCAAAGAGAGGAAGGGGCATGGGGGCAGCGGCTAATTGGGGTCTCTGGAAAAGAGTGTGAACGGCGAGAGACAGAGTTGTGTGCACCTCAACATAACAGCAATCTCTGGAAGTGTTGCAGGGCTGACTGGACCATGAGAAGATGGCTTACAGTGGTCTGATGTCAAGTTCAAGCTTGCTTCAGCTGGGACACGAATTGTCAATGGAATGGAACCACGGAAAGGGAAGAAGGGGACCGGAGCCTGACTATTCATTCTGAGTATCTATAGTGCACAGTGTATAGTGTACTGTAGCATATTTATAGCTCAGAATCCTTGGGGTGGGGTGTCGCTGTGCATGGCTGTGTCTCATTCACTCCTCACAACTCTTGAGGTGGTGGTAATATTATCCCCAGTTTAGAGAGAAGGAGACTGAGGCTTGGAGGGGTTAGGTAACTTTTCCAAAGTGACACAGAAGATATTTGAATGAACTGAGATTTGGATCTGGTCAGATGTCAAAGCCCATGCCTTCTGCACTCTGATACACTGGTCTCTAAGCCTCCTCCTGGTCTGGGCAAATCTTGGGTGAACCCCCACAAAGGCTGCAAGCCCAGAGCGGGATGTTGGGAGCTCCCCAAAGGGATGAGGAGTTAGGCTAGCATGAGGGAAGAGAAGATGAGGTGATAAGGAGGGGCCTGGGGTGCTGGGGCTGGCTGTCCAGCCCCCTAGCCCCTTACCAGCCAGGCCTGAAGACCAGACTCTGAGTGAATGGGAGAGAAGGAATAAGTGTATTGGCTACACGCTTGTTTCAAATGTTATTACTTACAAAGCATTTCCAGAACACCCACCACTTTGGTACATGCCCTCAGTTATCTGAAGTTTGTGCTTTCCTCCCTTCCTCCCTTCCCTCATTCCTCCCTACAGACAGTGAATCAACAGTGACTGAATGTCCAACTGCCAAAAATGAATAGTCTTTAAAGGTGGGATTTCGGGGCGCCTGGGTGGCTTAGTCGGTTAAGCGTCCGACTTTCGCTTAGGTCATGATCTCGCGGTTCGTGGGTTTGAGCCCCGCGTCGGGCTCTGTGCTGACAGCTCAGAGCCTGGAACCTGTTTCGGATTCTGTGTCTCCCTCTCTCTCTCTGACCCTCCCCTGCTCACGGTGTCTCTCTCTCTCCTAGAAATAAATAAAAATATTTAAAAAAAAATAAATAAATAAAAGTGGGATTTCAATGGTAGCTAATAATTTTTATATGGGGGTGGATTCCATTTTGTGAGATAGAAAGATGGCATTCACAGCTAAGTCTCATATGTCACCTTGGGCAGGGCTGGGTCCCTGAGCTCACTGCCCAGAAGTCCCATAACTGCCTTACGCTTGTGGAGAATGCTCCTTTGGGTTCAACCTGGTCTAATTCCAACATTGGCTCAGCAGACCTCATGCCAGAGGGAGCTGTAGAGTCACCCGGCCCAGCGACAGCAGAGCTTGGAAGGCAGGTGGAAGGAGGACCCGGAAGCACTCGTGTGGGTGGGAAAGCTCTGGTGTGTCTGGGTCTCACTGTACCCTGCGTGCGGGAGTGCGTGGGATCCAGCGCAGAAGAGGAAAAATGTCAGATCTTATAAAAACCCAGAAGGAGACGGGAGCTATTCTGCAAGCTCTCAGTAAACACATTCTTTTCATATTAGCATCACAGAGAGAGAAAGGGGGGAGGGAGAGAAGAGAAAAGTGAGTACAAAGAGCGGATGAAGAGCTGAAGGCTTTAGGAAGTCACCAGGTAGAGGGGCTGCAGGGAGGTGGGAGGGCGGGGTCTAGCCAGGAGCCAGCTCCTCCATTGGGTAAGGCTGGAGGCCACCAGTTTCCCCAACAGCTGCAGCAAGGACGCAGCTGCCCCACAGGCCATGGCCAGCCTCTAGACATCGGTGCTGCCTCAGAAAAGTTGAGGGCAAGCCAAGATATCTACCAATGAAATGACTTGATATCCAGGATCTGCTTCAAAGTAACTCATGAGTTGCTGTATGTTAAAGCCAGGTGCTTCGTGGAGGTTCTTTATGCAAATATCTCTACTTTTCATTATGCCTGAAATAAAAAATGTATGATAACAAGCAATAAGTCTTTGATGTATTTATTTTGAGAGAAAGAGGTGGGGGGAGGGTCAGAGAGAGAGAGAGACAGAGAATCCCAAGCGGGCTCCTCGTTCTCAGCGCAGAGCGTGATGCGGGGCTTGATCCCACAAACCATAAGATCACGCACTACCTGAGCCAACCACAAGAGTCAGACACTTAACCGACTGAGCCACCCAGGCGCCCCAGCAAAAGTCTTAAATGGAGGAGCTAAGAAGAGATCACAAGCTGCAGGTAGAATGCTAGCAGAGGGATACAAGCTATAGAATACAGGCAGAAATTGATGAGAACCATGTCTTGGGTTTTCTTAAATAACATTGCAAATCAGGGGTTCTGAGCCAGGAAATGATGGATGAGCTGCGCGTCCCTGAACTCCCTGTAACTGTGGGCAAAGTGACCTGAGAGTTTTCAGCAAGTTTTCAAAGAATCTGACTTTCCCCCCAGAGGTTAATAATTATATTCTCTCTCAAATATGCTATGTATTCATTAGTCACTTGGTGTGTGGTTTTAAGCAGAGGATTCTTTTCTAGAACTGGCATTTTCACATCTGGGCCTTGTGTTTTCATCTCCTCTCAGTCAACTGTACCTGGAACACAGCAGAACTGGCCAAGCCCCTTCATGGCCCAGCTCCCTGGGGGCGGCTCCCAGGGCACTCACTGCCCCCGAGCCTCAGCAGTGGATGTTGGGGGAGAGCTGTACCCACGAGAAGGGCACCCAGGGGGAGGCAAGGACAGTGAGGCTCTCTGGGGTCTGACAGTGGCAAGCGAAGTGGTGTGAAGGCTGACATCCTCCGACAGACTCATTGGCTTTCGGCTGCGAGTGTCCAACAGAAACCACAGTTTTGAATAGTCTGAGACGCAAAAGCCCAGAGAATTCCTTAGGAAACACCTTCCGGTTCCTCACAGGGTAGCATAACACCCAGTGTGATGTGACTTATCCCCCTTGCAGTGAATTCTTTCAGAGTCCAGCTCCCCACAAGCTCCCCAGAATGGGCAAAGCAGCTTATCTATCAGCTGGCCTCGCAGCCTAGTGGGCAGGGAAAGTGGGGGTAGTTTAGGCGACACTGAGGGTCTCATCTTAGAGCCATCTCCACAGTTAAGTCAAAGCTTGAAGGGCTGCCCCATTTCCTAATGCAGTCAGGCTAACATTTCACAAGCTCGTGTGAGAAACGGGGACTTGGTCCTTGACCTTGGGAACAGAGGTGGGAACAGAGAATGGAATACGGGGTCCAGGTATGACGCTGGCGCTGGGGCTCTGATCTGTGCTATCACCCACTTCAGAGAATACATCTGAGGGCTGAAGCCATTCCCCGCTCTCCCACAGGAGGGCACAGACAGACCAACGAGGATCCTCGTCTCCCAGCACTCCTGTCTTCTCCCTGACCAGGCACTGGAAACAGGGAAGCTTGCCCGCCCCCTCACGTGGAAAGAGATGGAGCCCCGCGGTGAGCTCTGCCCCTTCTCACAGCAGGCTGCAGGACCAGGGTGGTGGGACAGGCTAGAGAAGTTCTGTCCCAGGACAGAGCCTGATGAAGGCCTGTGGCTAAGGTGCCTCTGTCTGGGCTCTCACCTCAGAGGGACCTGCTCTCTCCTTCCCACCTCTCCACGCCCAAGTCCTGGTTCCCATCCCTCCTCCTTTGGAAACTCCACCCCAACATGCGCGCGCGAGCGCGCGCGCACACACACACACACACACACACACGCCTTCCTTCTCAACCATCCTCTGGCTTTCAGGGTTTGGACATCTCTCCACGTCAAGGGAGAGAGATGGGAGCACTCGAGGAAGCTCCTCCCTCTATGCCCCCCTCCCCCTTCCACCAGAACGGTGACTGAGGTATCCTCCAGAACTCCGTTTTCTCCGTCCAATCAAACTGGCAACACAGTGGGAGGTGCAGGACCCGGAGAAAATGCTTGGTGGCAAGTTTAGGCTTGTGTCCTCATCCTTCCTTTACTGTGGTCCCTGCCTCCACTGCCTCCTTCCCAAGCTCCTCACAGTGCTTCACCCCCACCCCAATTCAGGTCAGGTAGCCTCAGTTTCCTCCTGTCAGAGAGGAAAGGGGGACTTTGTTGCGTCTGGGCACCGTGGCCTTCCCTGCCCAGGAACCAAAAGAATGGGTTTGCAATGGAGACTTTCAGAGACACCCCACCAGTTGAGAGATGTCTCATATGTGCCACAGGACCTCCTTTGATTGCCCCCATCGCCTCCCAGAAAGCCCTCCAACCGACTGTCAGGGGGTCACACAGACTCCTGGGAGAGCAGGACCAGGTGGGTCAGCCTTGGGCCACAAGACACAGCCAGCCAGACTCTGAGAAGCACAGACCACTGAAGAGTCTCATTTTGATTTTTTTTTTTAAACTGTGCTTTATTTAGGGCTAAGCTGGAGAAAGCGTCATCCAATAGTTACAGAAGGTTACAAGGAGTTTTAGGGAGTTGAGTGTGAAAAGAGCAGTTGTACTGAACTGCGGCTGTTTTTTTTTTTTTTTTTTACAACATTTGGACATCCTAAAAGGAGGAGCCAAGAGAAAGAAAAAGAAAATTTAAAAAATAATAATTAACTAACAAAACACAGAAAGAAAGGAAAGGCAGGAGGCCTAAGAGGAACCAGAGAGTTGTTCTTCTAAAGCAAAAAAAAGGGAAAAATGGTAGGTCGGAGAGCCTCCTGGCCTCCAGATGACCTGGACATCAATGAGAGGAGGGTATCAAGGCAGAATGCCAAAGCAAGTCTTCCCAATGGTGCAAATAAATTATAATAAATATGTTATACTTTAAAATATATGTGTTCTTAAATAATTCAGTGATTTTTTCTGATTCTGAGTTTTTTAAGCAATGTCTTTTTTAACTGCTCTAAAGTCATTTACCAAAGATAAATATCGTGCTTTCATTAAATAGTTTTCCTTGTTTTTTTTCTCTATCATTACAATTAAAAGTCCTACAAAATATGCAAATTTATTTACAGAAAAACAGAGCCGGCATCATTTAAACATCCCTGTTTTTCAAAATTCCTTGTAAACAGTTTCAGAAATTCTTCAAAGATTGTTTATTTTTCTCTCTCTTGTTTAAGGTTTTTGTGTGTGTGTGTGTTGTTTAGTTGTTTTAAGATGAATTTCCCAGGTCTCCCTTGCCCGGAAAGTCTCTGGAGCAAGCATGGAAGGCGAGTGAAGCGGCAGGAGTCGAGGGCTTGCGGAGAGCGGGCGAGCGCGCGCAGCTCCCGAGCGAAGCGGGCGAGGGCGGGCGGCGGCCTTCCCGCGACGGCGCGGCCCCCACCGGCGGCGGGTGGCCAGGAGCCCGCAGGTCTGGGCGAGTCCGGCCTGGCCCTCGGGGTCCACGGCGTCCGACAGCACTCGCGGGGAGAAGGGATCGATGCTCAGTCTAAACTCTACAAAAAAGTACAGTCCTACAACATCTGGGATTTTAGCAGTAACGCTAACTTCTATAGGTTTTTTTTTTCCTTTTTTATTTTTTTTTTTATTTTTTGCTTTCCTCTAATTTTTCTTCTATTATATAGGTATTTTAAACTTCTCCTTTTTAAAATTCTGTACAACTATTATGATTTTAAGAGGGGGAAGAGTTAGAAGCATTTACAGACTTTTCACAACAATTATCTTGCCTTGTAAGTCCCTTTTTTCCCCTCCTTGTTTTCTCACACTTCACGGTTAATGAGTTTTAATATTTTCGTTGCTTTCCCCAAATATCCACCAGTTTGTTCATCTTAACAGCTCCGTCCAGACATATAATACAGAAAACCATAGGAAAGTGTCATAGACTTGAATGAGGGTAATCAAAGCGCCTCTCAAAGTATCAAAGAACTATTATCTTGCTGTTTTAAAAGCATTGAAGCATTATTTTTCTTTTTTTTGTTTTTGTTTTTTTTTGTTTTTTTTTTTTATTTTTTTAATTACATTTTTCATAGAATCGCTCTAAGCTGTTTCAAGAACAGCCATGAGGCAGGAAGGAGGGTCTCCTCCATCCCCCTCTATTGGGCATAGAGCTACACAGCTGCAATAAAAAGTTTGGTCCTTTGGTCCCTAAATAGCTAAAGGAATGACAGATAGAGATGCTCAGCGGCGGCCTCCCCGCCGTCCCCCGGGGACCAGGCCCCGCCACACCGCTGCCCCAGCCTGCCTCAGGCGCCCATGGGCTGGAAAAGCCCCGGGGATCGGTAAGCAGCGCCTCTTCCCTCTTCCCAGCCTTTCAGCCTCCCCATCTGGTCTCGAGTTATTTTGTTTTAAAGTTGCCTTTTTTGTGTTTGTTTTTTTTTCTCATTTTTCTTCATCTTCTTCTTCTTTGTGTCATATGTATTTTTCCCCCAAACACGTGCCCTCTGAACTCCACAGACGCTATACTTTCCTTGAAGAAATGTTACAGTCACAGAGAGTGTCTGGAGTCTTCAGCTTGATTGATATTGGCTGATATGTCAAAGGTGTCATCCAACAGTTCTCATTTATAAATATATATAGAGAGAGGTTTGTTTTTTAATGTAGCCCGTTCAGCATCCTGCCCTAAAATGAAGAAAATCAGGGCTGATTAAGCCAAGAGAGGAAACACAAAATGCATCCAAACACCAAAAGGACCCTGCCTTGGGGGGTTAGGGTGGGAGTTTTGGGGGATGGCGGGAGGGAGGGGAGAGACCAATATGAGAATTAGTCATGATCATGATACATAAAAAAGAAATCGACTCTTCTGTTCAGAGTAAGAAACCACTGGAGGTCTAGTGGCGATGGTTGTAGCTGAGGTTTGGTTGCTGGGAGAGGGGTCTCGATTTGGGTTCCTTTAGAGTTCTGGAATGGGGCAGGTGGCTAGATCTAAAGGAAGAATTTGGGACTGTGGGATATGAATTCACAATTAAACCGATGTCTGAGGGATCTAGCCCAGATACAATATGTATACAGAAGCCTAGCAAACAAGATGGCAAAAACTCTAGCAGCCCAGCCCACCCCTCCCCTGTTCGAGGAAAAGAAGCAAGACATCGTGACATGAATTTCGCTGAACCTTTGCCCAGTTTCCAGCCAACCGCTTCTTTCCCAAGATCGGTAGCTATTTGCGAGGCTATGTATATATATGTATATCTGGATATATGTGTAGAATATATTCACCTGCACATATGTGGATATACATGGATATGTGTGTATGTATATGCATAGATACACACATACACACACACACACACACATAATATTGTTCTCATACATGCCAGGGAATTTAGAGGAGATTCGGAACTTCAAGGGAGCGGATGGGAGAACCTAAAAAAAGTTAGAACGGATTTCATCATCAAGCTTAAATAAATTAACTCAGTTCTCGATTTTTTGAGTGGTGACTTTTTTTGATGTTTTGTTTTGCTTTTAAGAAAAAAAAATCATGATCTGACTAGAATCAGAAGGAGAATGCTTAATCATTGTGAATTAACAAATGAGACTCATCTCCAGTATAGCAAGCAGCTTCCACTTATACATGGGGGTGACTGGTTACATCAAGAGAGTTAGAACTGCAAAGCCCCCAGTTGAGGGGACAACGTCATGCGTATATCAATCCATGCTGGCAGGTTTTTCACACTGTTGATTCAACAAACAGCAAACCGTACACAGCAGTCTAAACAATTACAACACCAAATAAAATAATAATAAAATTAAAAAACACTTGTCAAGGACCCTTTTTCAGTTGTAAACAAAAAGGTGCATTTTGCTTTTGTCAGTACTGTTTTTTCCAAACCAACCAAAAAGCCCCCCCGCCAACCCCCGGTCCCCCGCCTCCCCTCCCCACATTTAATTTAGCAGAAGTGGCTACAATACAAACCTTACAATTGTTATCAGGCTCTCTCTCAGAGGCCTCTGGCTTTGTACTCTAGTTTTTGGTTTAGAATTGTTTTTTTTTTTTTAAATAATTCTGTAACAGCAGAGATTTTGTTTTTTGGTTTTTTGTTTTTGTTTTTCCTTTTGAAGTGAGATTTAAAATAGCCTAACTGGAAAAAGGCCAGACCTAGGAAAGTGTCAATTGAAAAAGGCCCCCAAATTTCTAGAAAAAAATAAAATCACAATAGTTTCAAGTGCAAGTAAATCAACCACGCATAGATATATTTTTTAAGATGTTTTCCTTAATTTTAAGAAAAAAAATAATGGTTTGCACAGTTAAATGATCCCATGTTCGATAATTCAGGAATTCATCTTTATTTTTACTATTTTTTTGTTCTTTTGTTTTGTTTTTTTCTCTATGTGACATCTAGAGAAGCATAAAAAACGCTGAACAAGAAAAACCAAACAACAGAAAGTAAAACCACTGCAAGCACCAAGAACAAAACAGAAATGAGCACAGCAAAAAAGATCGTGGCAGCACAAAAGTCAAGAAAATGCACGTGTGATCATGACTGGCCAATCATCAACTGATACAACATCCAAGAAAAACGCTCCAATCACAGCACCTCCACGAAACTTGACGGCAATTGTCATGCAACCGATTCTTAGCCTTGTTACATGACGCCATCATGTCACACTGTGAACTTTGAGTTGATTTGAACTTACGGATGGGGGACTGTTTTCTCCACTCTCATGTGATTACGTGAACTTTATTCCTAGCTCAGCGCGAGACTGTGGTGGATTTGACTGGCCCTGGTTGGGTTGTTGGAATTTGATTGAATGACAAAAGAAGAAAAGATTTTTATATATATTTATATATGTAGAGAGAGAGAGAGAGAAAGAAAGAGAGGACAAGAGAGTGTCGGGGAGGGAAGAGGCGGGGGTAGGTCGGGTGGGGTCGGGTAGTGTGGAAGGGCAGGGACAGTTGGGTTGAGGGTGAAGAAGGGCAAGGAAAAGTTAAAACAAAATCAAAAGGAAAAATATTTATACAGCACCAGACCACAGCATCAATCTAAAAGCTCGGATGAGAGAACAGCAGTCAAATCATAAGAGAACTGAAACGAACTCAAAGGATGGAGGAAGCCGGCAGACAAAGGACATGGGCACATCAACACACACACGCACACACGTACACACACACGGTTGTTTATGCAGACACGTGATCCACCATGAACAGTAGCAGAACCTCACACAGGGCCACTAAGGGCACCCATCATGCGTTGGGAAGAGGAGGAGGGGCGTGGGCAGTTTGGCAAGAGGGCTAGGAAAAAATAAAACAGCCCCTCAAGCCACCGTGGCCAGCAAGCAGATCAGGAAGCACGCTCTCTGCTGTGTATCACCCGCGTTTCTCTCTCCCGGGGGAGCCACGCTCTCCTCACCCCACCCCAGCCTTCTGTGGCGTCAGCCTGTGGAGCCAGCCTGTGGAGCCTGTCAGGGTGGCCCTGAATTGCAGGGTAGATCAGAGGCTGGCTAAGGTGACTTGTATCCGAAGGGTCCATCCACGGAGCACTTTGCTGTTGCAGTACAGTCCACACCGACAGCAACTCGGCCCTCCCACCCCTTTGGTCCCGCCTTGGCCACCATTCCCAGGGAAGGGCGTCTCCACAGCACGAGCACCCACTGTGTGGTGCCATGGTCCTCTCTCCTCTTCCGTTCTGCCTCAACCCTCTTTTCTCAGAACCTTCAGAAAACGAACATGTTCAGTTTTGAGATGGAGAGTAAATCACATCAATGTTATTGGAATTCTATAAACACGCCTCGGCATCGCTGATTGCATTTCATGATCACTTCATACCCTTTGCTTTGCTCCCAAGGTGGCCCGTGAGGCCAAAGTGAAGCTGCTTTCTGGGCCTGTGAAGCCTTAGGAAGGCTCCACAGTGCTGACCCATGACAGGGCCAAATGGAAGACTACAGAGCATCCTGCAGGGTGGGTAACACAGAAAAGGATGGTCCACCAGAGAGGGAGGTGCTCTGGCCCTAGGTCTCCAGCCTCTGCTGCTGTCACTCCTGCTCTGCTGACCTCCCTTACTACACCTCCTTCTTCTCCATTCCCTACGCCCCTGCATGTGTATCTTTCTAGACTGACCCATCTCACAGGCCCTTACCTGCCTTCTTTATTGGTGGAGCCCCAAGTGGTTGAGGCTGAGTCCCCTTCTCTGTCAGGCATCATCAGATGTTTCCACTTTGATTTATCTTCTGCACTCCTCACCCCTTCACAGTCCTTTGCCCCAACCTGGGGATTTGGGGATGCCCAGCCCTACCCTCATGGTTACCCTTGAGCTTGCTCCCCAGCCCCTGCTCCCCTGAGACACTCAGGCCTGTGCCGAAGCCTCTGCACCCAGTTTATCTGCAGGGCTCTCAACCCACCAGGCTTCTGCACAGAGCAGACTTCCACTCTAAGCTTTATGTCTTTCTTCAGGGGGCGTGGAAGGGAAGCCTGGGCCCTGAAATGTCACTGTGGATAAGCTACCCAGTAGCTGAGGGGTGACCCAGCCTCCAGCTCTGCCTTCATAGAGGAGCTCTTCCTCCATGCCCCCTGCCTCCCTGCCCATCCAAGCTGGGCTCTTGCTCTTCCATCCGCAGATCTCCCTCACTGAGACCCGGGACCCATAGCGTGCCCGAGAAGTCCTAACATGCCACATCACCAGCCCTTCCCAAAAGCAAACCCTTAGACCCACCCAGGATATCCAACGAATGGGCTGATCCCTTCGGGTGGGAGAAGAGGCCTGAGACCTGAGGAGGGCAGTGCCACCAGGTGTCAGCTCTGGCAACTGCAAATAAGGGACCTCCCTGCGGAACTCCCCTCCTTTCCCCAGTGCCCCAGCCCTGAGCATTTCCTCGGTGCCCATTTCTCCCCCACTGGACTAGCTCCTTTGCCTGCCCCAAGTTTGCCGCTAGCTGCCCTGTGGTGCCTGTGCTGTTCTGGGTCCTGAGGACCCAAGCCTGACTATCACACAGCACCTCCTCAAAGCCCAGTGTGGGGGCCTTCTCGTGCAACTCACCTCTCTCTCTCTCTCTCTCTCTCTCTCTCTCTCTCTCTCTCTCTCACACACACACACACACACACACACACACACACACTGTCACACTCATTCAATCCCTAAGGAACCTCCCCAGGGCTCTGCCCATGCACAGCTGACTAGCGGGCTACTCTCTTCACTGGGGAACAGCTGGGCCTCTGCCTGCATGGGTGACTCCTTCTTGGCCACCCTCTCAAAGATTCTCACAACATACAGCTTCAGAGGTGGCAGCGGGGTCACTGACCAGCGAGGGAGCTTGAATCAGGCCTGGGAAGCTCCAGCTCATGACGTGGGAGAGGAAATTAGCTGACCTGGTCACCTAAGCCACTCCAGATGCCAGCTTCTAAACACAGCTAGGCTCCAGCCAGAGGAGGCCAAGGCCCAAAGCCATGGCCCAGCCCTGTGCAGGTCAGGGCCAGAGCACCCATACCTGCACAGCTCAGAGCAGACACCATGCAAAAGCACACTCAGAGCCACAGCCCAGGGCCCAGAAGAGAGAGGACTCCCATTGACGTCAGACGTGGTACTCAGTGCCCTGAGAACCACAGAACCACAGGGTTAGGGGTCTGCAAACCTGCCCTCACCTTGGGGTGCAGCACATGCTACGGATCTCTGGAGCAGGACACGGGACTTGGGTATACTGCTCACTCACTGTGGACCTGGCGTGTCTGCATTTCTGCCTAGTCCTCTGGCCTTTGCTTCCTTCCTCTTAGTTTCCTAGTAAAGATTTCTGGGGGAACCTCCCGCCTTGACGTGAGATAATGAGCCCAAGCAGCCAGAGGGGCAGGGCCAGATGGGAAGCCAGGAGCAGGCGGGGAATCACATCCTCAGGAGACATCAGGATGCAGAGAACCACGTGACCCGACCCAACCCAGCCTACCTGGGCCTCACCTTCTGGAACGAACCCACACCCAACCACACTCCCTCGAGGTGCCCTGCCCAGGGCCCCTCCCCTCCCCTAGACCTGCCACGCTTCTGTTCTGGCCAGGCCCTGGCCCCCACGCTGTGACTTTGCCTTCACCACTGCGGGTGGCCAGTCAGGCCCTGAGATCCCCCTGTGCCCATCGCCCCTTTGCGCCTACCTATGGCTTGGCCTCCACCACTGCTCAGATTACCCCTGCCCTTCTGAGCACCTAGCGCTCATCATTTACTGGTCAGTAAAATCCTGAGTATTTTAGCTGCTTTTGCATGTTATTTCCTCCACTTCTCACTGCAGTCCCCTCAGCCCGCGCTTTGTCTTAGCGCCTCCTTCTGTGACAGCCTCTAGCAGTCTGAGATTGGAAAGCCTGAAATCCCCTTCTGTTAAAATGCTGTCTAAATGGATTAAAGGTCAGCGTTATTCATGGGAGTCATGTTACGCCATCGTTTTCTGGAAGACTGCTTAGGGAGTTGCCCAGAGACGCGAGACGTCTTCAGGACAAGACTCCGGGGAGGAAGGGTTGGGGTGAGGATACCAGTGGGAGAGTTATCACTCTCCTTAGAGGCATTAAGAGCACAGCCTCTGTAACTAGGCCACGGCTTCAGATCACGGCTCTACCACTCAGTAGCCGATGGGCAAGTGGCTTCCTCTTTTGTGATCTGTCTTTAAAATGGGATGATAACACTACCCACGTTAAAGGCAGTCACAGCTATACTGTTACACCTTAGCCTTGTTACCTGTAGGAACTGGGAACTGTGCCTTGTGCACGGTAAGCACCGCGTGAAGCCTGGGTTCTCATCTGCCTGGCCTTCATTTTCCTTGGTGGAAGAAGCCCTCTGCTTTCTAAACCACACCTCTCAAGCCCTCACTCCAACTATGACTGCCAGCTGGTTCTGCCCTCTGGGCCACTTCTTACCTTCTGTGCCAAACAAGTCTGCCTTACTTACCTCCTCCTCTGCGGATTTCTCTGACTTATAGCTTCTATCCCAACTTGGCGTCTAGGTCTAGAAGGCTGATAGGCTGCCTTCATGGGAGCCACAGAACTTGCCCACAGGGGCCCCTCAGAATCTCAGGGCATGGCCCTGGAGCACACCCCCTCCTCTGACTTCAACACCTTGGTTTCATGAATCCAGAAACAGAAGCCCAAGAGGTCATGCCTCAGTGGCAGAGCTAAGCTTATCATAGGAAACGTGCTCTCTTTCCACAAAGGGCTGCCCTCACTGAACGGTCCCCCCACCCCGATGGAAGCACACCCACCTGCAAGCTGCTTCCTGCCATCTGTGCTTGCAGACCCGGAAGCTCGTGCGGGCAGGAGGGTGACTCGTTCATCTTTGCGTCCCAGCACCAAGCCCAGTGCCCAGCCCGAGAAGGTGACCCACTCGTAATGAACATGTGGGGACGCATCTTCACGGAAGCCAGAGATGGGCAGGGGTGGGAACTCAGGAGGCGAGAGAGGTGGGTTTTGCTTTTCGAGCCTTGCAGAGAGTAGAGGCTCAAGCACCCGCTTTGAGAGGTGAGTCTTGCTCCTGGGTGGGTGGAAGATGGCTGCTGGCAGCGGGAGGGTTTGAGAGGAGACTGGGAAATTGGAACTCTCCCCGCCAAACTCCAGACTTGGAACCTCCACTTGAATGTCTAACTCTCATGCGCCTGCTCTTTCCCCCAACTCCTCTTCATCTCAGGTCATAGCTACTCTGCTGTAGCCAAAAACTGGGTGTCATCCTCAACTCCTCTGTCACACCCCCCTCCAATTCATTATAAACAGCATTCTTGGCTCTGCCTTCTAAGAATGTCAAGACCACAACCCCCTCCTACCGCAATGACTGCTGTTGCCCTGGACTGAGTGGTCCGTGCACTAGACTCCCGCTTGGGATCCTACAGTCTATCAACACAGCAACCAGTGGTCACGCTGCAATGCAAGTAGGTCACACCACTCTTCTACTCAGAGCTCTCCAATGGCTCCCCGCCACCTACCCACCCCCCATTTCACAGGGGTGGCCACGGTCCCTACAATGGCCTGTATAGGTCCTACACAAGGCAGACCTCACCTCTCCTCACCTCTCAGATCTCCACTCCCACCGTGTCCCGAAGCAGGCCTCCCTCCAGCCACCTTGTTCTGCCGTTCTCAAATGCACCAGCCCGCCCTCTCCTTGGAGGTTTTCCGCTGGCTGTTCCTTCAGATGAAGGACTCACTCCTCCAGACGCTGGCATAGCCCCCTGCCTCGCCTTCTTGAAGTCTTTGCTCAGATGTCAGTTTCTCAACAAGGCCTACCCTAACTACCTGATTTAACTGTAACCAACAATTCGGGCACACCATATAATTTCCTGTTTGGTCATATGTCATTGTTTATTGTCTGTCTCTCCTTCTAAGGACAAAAGTTCTTGTCAGTCTTATTCAATAGTGCTGAGTCCCGAATTCATAACAGTACCTAGTGCACAGTACTGCTGATGGAGTGGAGGACAGAGGGCTTGGAGGCCTGCCTCTGGCTTGTGGGCGAGCTGGGCCTACAGGACCGCACAGCAATGCGCTGAAGGAGGGCCTGGGCCATCTCCCCCGTCCCTCCTTTCCCCAGGAAGCTGCTTCACCCAGGGAAACAAATGGCCTGGAAGAGGAGTGGGCAACTTTGTCTCCGGCTGCAAGGCTGGACCAAGACTGAGTAGGGAAAGATGACAAGTGTCCACTCGTCATGGCCACTGTAAAGCAGGCAGGGTAACTGGCCCCAGTGCTGTGCCACCACCTTCCTCACTTCTGCCTCAGGCTGACTGAGCTCTAGAGTTGGAGAGGTGAAGGGGATCACCTGTCTAAAGGCCACCAGCCCTCAAGGCAGGACAGATGGGCAGGGGAGAGACAGAGAGTCTAGGAGAAGGCCCCAGGGGACGTGGACTGCTCCCCCCACCACACTTTCCCAGTCCCCGAGCTTGCCACAGGCTCACCCCAGGGTTTTCCGGCAAACAGAATTACTATGTAGACCTGGGTGCACAGGCCCAGGGCTCACCCCACCTTCTCAGCAAGGTTTACTCACTCCTGCTTCCCTTGGCTCTGCAACAGGGGGATGGTCATGCCCATTTCTGCCGGTAAGACCACAGCTCTAGGCCTGCCCCCTAGGCACCTGGCGAGGAGCAGGTCGAGAGGGGCGGGGCGCAGCGGGTCCAAGGCAAGCGAAGGTCCAGCTCAAGAAGGCCGGAGGAGACGGCGGGTCCGTCCGGTGTCCCTTCCCCAAACCCCCCGACCCCGCGCCCCGGCCGCCCCCGGTTACCTGTGCGAGTCCTGGTCTCCCCCGGGGGACGCTCCCGCCGGCTCTCAGTATGGGCGATTGGCGTCTTTGGGCCGCTTCAGCTGCACCTTGAGCCTCTTCATGCCGATCTGGAAGCCGTTCATGGCCTGGATGGCGGTCTGCGCGCTGGCCGGGTTGTCGAAGCTCACGAAGCCTGGCGAGACACGAGGGACGAGGGCCTGGGTTTCCACGGGGCCGCCCCGGCGGGGAGGGGTAGGTGGGGAGAAGGGCGGGGCCCGGGGGCGGGGCGGGGCGGGCGGCGGCCCCACCCTGCGCTCCCGCCGCGCCTGGGGCAGGAGGGGGGCCTCTAGGCTCCTCCCCCTCGGGGCCCCGCCCCGGCCTCACGCCCCCCACAGCCCGCGAGCGCGCGGCCCCTCCCGGGGTGGGCGTGTCCGGGGCTCCAGGCCTCGCAGACCGGCGCCGCCCGGCAGGGCCTCCCCAGCTCCACCGCGGCTTTGGGCGGCGCCCCTCTCCTGGGCGCCCTCGCCCCCCACCCCGGCCGGCCCCGGCACCTCAGCCCTCTGCTTCGGTGGGAGGGCAGACACACCTGCGGGTGGAGGAGTTTATTGGACACTGTCCTCCCTGACAGGAGGGGGCCTGGCAGCGGGAGGGCACAGAGTGCCGGCCTGGGGAGAGAGAGGAGTGCGAGGGGGAGGGAGGGGGGCACCCCGGAGAAAACCTCTCCACCGCCTTTCCAGCCGCCCCCCTCGCGAGGGCCCCCTGGCCGCGGGGGAGGGCAGGGGCTGACAGTCCCCGCGGCCCTCCGCCCCCCCTCCCGGTCCCAGCCAGGCTCCTGGCAGACACCTTGCCTAAATCCAGTCCCACTCGCAGAAACCCGCCACTTCGCACCCAGGGGCTGTAGACGCCTCCCTAGTAAAACTCCAAGCCGTGGGAAGTGCGTGCCCTTGCCCCGGATTCTGCACGCACCAACTGATGCGTCCCCTATGAACCCCTCATGGTATCTACAATAACAGTAGTGCTGTACAAATTAACACTATTAGTAAAAATTCATTGAGAGCCTTCCCTGTTACCCAGGGACTGCGTAAGTGCTTCCCACAGGTTCACTCCCTCCAACATCCCAGAATGAGATACAGAACCATCTATGGCTCCCAGTCACCTTCTGAAAAAATCAGTTTCCAGATGGGGATGGTAAGGTTCTGAAAACTAGTTTAGAAGTCACCCTTTGGGAACTTTGAATGCAATTCCTACATGTTACATGAGCATTTCCTAAACTGGCCCTAGTTGGTCCTGCTGAGAAACGGGCTTCTGTGGTCAAGCAGGCTTACCGCTATACCAGTCTGGGACAGTTCAAGGCGCATTAACAAATAACACCCCCTTCCGCCCCAAGTTCTCCAGTAAATAAACCTTTATAGCTTTGTTTAGCCTAGCATTTCCTGGAATTTATTTGACTTTAGAGGCCCTTTCTCCTGTAAAATGGACTTAGAGCCTGGGAAATAATGAAACTAAGTTTGGCGAGGTTCCCAGGCCATCCTGCAAACATGTCTCCCTTGGGGTGCTTGTCTCCAAATGGCCTTGGGATATATAAGTGATAGATGGACGGACCCCATGGAAGTACTAGCGGTTTTCTTGGCTGTCCATGGGATACTGGGCCTGTCCACGACTCCTCCCTCTCTCTCCCTGTGTGGTGACTCGTTTTACCTCCGCCCTAGACACTGCCTCCATTGGCCTCTTTCCTCTTTCTCTTGTCTCCTTCTCGCTTTTGCTAATGTTTGTTCACATTTGTTCTTAGAGCCATGAGCCATCAAAGGTGGGGGAGAGGGTGTGTGTACATGCAGCGAGTGTACACAAGAGTAAGTGCACGTGAGTGAGCTCAGCTGGACTTGGTGAGTCAGGCCCAGAGAAACATAACCCACATCTGTGTGAGTCCACATGCCAAAACAGAAGAGATCTCAGATTGCCCGTAGCTGGAGATCAGCATGAGGCATCCTTCTGCCTCCTCCTCTCACCCCCCTGGCCAGTCCCTCACCCCCCCAACATCCGTGTCTGATGACCACAGTCCAGTCTCAGCAGAGCAGAGCAGTTTTCAAAGCTGTGAACTGTAAGTCTGTAACACTGCTCTCCCCCACTTTGAGGAAGGTGGTTGAACGAAAGTTTCTCTCCCTGCTGGGACCAGACAGCCTTACTGAGGGTGACCGTTCCCACCCCTCTCTGCGCTGGCCTGCCAGCTCCGACTCTACCTCGCCACCTGCCCCCTGTCCTTGGTGGCTCTTTTTGGAGGAAACAAATCTCAGCAAGGCAGGGAGGAGCTGGGAGGAAGACAGAGGGGCTGGACGTGCTATCTAGGGCAGAGACACAGCCACCCAGTGGGGAGAGTGGGGGAGAAGAGGACCTGAAGGGAAAAGGTCAGCCTTCATAGAAAAGTAGAGTCTCTTGAAACCTGGGGGTGGTTGGGAAGGGATCCAGACTCAAGGAAACCTCCTCCTCAACTAATTTTGTTAACTGGTGAGCAGTCAGGGCTGCTGAACAGGACTCTGGACACCATCTCCCAGTTTTAGGGTTTCTAGGACTCTGTCCCTCCTCCCAGAGTCTGATGCCCCCCTCCCTCCCAGCCCTGAGAAGGTTCCTGCCTCACAGACTGTGAGAAGCCATGGGGGGGGGGGGGAGGGGTGGCGGATACCTTCCTGGTGTGTCCCTGGAGCCCTTCTTCCAACATGGCTGTAATTAGTGCTGCACATCAGCTCACAAAGGCCCCCAGAGGATTCTGTTTATGCTTATAAAGAGCAAGTGTGGCCTTTGAGGGGTTCACTTTAACACAGGACCACATTTACTCAAAAACCATTCCTCCTTTTGGGAACAAAGAGGGCTCTCGCCCCTCCTGAGGGTTTGCTCTGGCAAAGCCTCTCACACACAGCCACCCTCCTGTAACCCTCACACCAGACCCCCACCCCTGAGAAATGACTGAGAAATGTCCTCATTTATAAAATGAGGACACTGAGGCTCTGAGTTAAATGACCTGCCTATGAATGAGCGCTGGAGCTGGTTCTCACACTAAAGGCCTCCGGGGGACTTGTGGAAAACTCAGCTGCTGGAGCAAGAAAAAAGGAACCCCAGGGGCTCTAGGAGGGAGGATTGGGCCCAGCCGGGCCCTCAAGGCAGGAGCGCATCCTTAAGGCGAGTGGACATTTAGCGCTAGAAGTCTGTTCCGGAACAGAGGAAAAAAGCCGGGGTGGAGGTATAAGGAGGATGATTTTCAGAAAAAGCAGGGAAAAAACCTTGGTCCTGGAGAATTTACATAGCCAAATGGCGAAGGTAGTGTCTGGGGCAGACTCCAAGGAAATGCCTTGGAAAAAGCCGCTGCGCTCACACCAAAGACAGCACAAATGCTCCGAGGGCGTGGCCAGAGACCAAGCCTGCTGGCTCAGGTGTCCAGAGCTTTGTGGGCTCTTAGCAGATGTCTTTCCTCTGTTGTATGGAACATTTGAGGCTTATTTAAAGAGCAGAGGCAATAATCTCCAGTTTGTTGTTCTTACATACTTTAACTGCAATTTGTCAGGAGAAATATCAGTCTAACAAAGGAGGGGTGCAACCCTGTCTTCTCTTTCTTTTGCTTTGTCTTCTCATACCCAAAGACAAATAAACTGTTGGGGCAACTCTATGCCCTCCAAGCACCACAAATATCCTGTGGCAGCTGCCAGAGGGGAAGGGACAAAGGTTCAAAGACCTTGACTGCTTTGGGGGGCATTGTCTAAAACCTCAAGCCTTTCATCATTCTACAAAGCAGTCTCCAAATTGGAATCTCTTTAACATGTGCTTGCTGATGCTTCTACACACTTGTACGGTCTTCCCTACACCGTCCCAAGCTGTAATCGGGGTTCCCCAGGCAACACAGGCCCCTACTCTGTCCTCACAGACCCAGGATGTGGGATTGGACCTGGAGATCTAAACTTCTGGCAGACCCATCTCTGGTCCCATGTGTGGCTCTTCTGGGGACTAGACTCCTCACTCCTTGGGGACTCAGGAGTGGATCTAGCTGCAGAGGAACGGCTGATGGAGGCGAAAGAGGAGGCAGGAGAGGAGCTAAGGAGGAGTGGAGAGGAGAGGTGTGGGAATGAGACGGAATTCCAGGAGTTCTGAGGCAAATCCAAACACAGGATGCTCAGTTGAACTGAAATTTCTGATAAACAATGAATATTTTTTTACTGAGGGTATATCCCCAATATTGCATGGAACATGTTGCATATAATATTTGGGACACACACACAAAAGATGCATCTATTTTTCATCAGAAATCAGTTTAACCGGGAACCCTATATTTTATCTGACAACCATACTCCTAGATCTTCCCAAGTCCCCTGTCCCATCTAGCATCCTGCCGCCATGCACACTTCCTAAAAGCTGTATTTTTCTTCTATGACTCTCAGCTCCTGGACCTCCCCTCACCTCCCTCTGCGCCCAGGCAGCATCCTCATCTGAATGGTCAGCCCTCCCCCAACACAGCCCCTCCCTCACAGCTGGCCTCCCCAGATCCCTTCCCCCACCCCTGAGCCTCCTGCTGGCTCCCTCATTCACTGTCCTTAGGCTCCCACACCCACTCTGTTCTCCCTCTGCCCCTCTGCGGAGTTCCCTCCCCTTCCTCACTGTTTACATCCACCTGCCTTTCTCTTTGCTCCATTACTTGGTGCCTTGCAGACTTCAGTGCTGCGGGGTAGGCATGAGTTTCATCTAAGCTCAGACCTGAGGCTTCCTGAGGGCAGGACCAGTTTGTTCTTCCTGACTCCTCAGCAATGTGGCTCTGGTGGCCTGAGGGAGTGGTGGGGAAGGAGGGTTCAGTGGGCGCAGGAGGGGAGCCAAGAGCGGGATAGACAGAGAAGGGCGGCAGGGGCGGGACGGAGAGGTGGGCAGAGGAGGCCAAGGGGCAGGCAGGCTAGGGGCCTCAGCTGGGAAGACCCCCACCCCCACCCCAAGGATCATGCTCGGGTCCACCAGGGCCTCTGTGATTGCAAGAGGGGGAGCTGCTGGGAGAGCGGGCTCTGCTCGGTGCCTCCACCACCCTGCCCCAAAGTGGTGACTCCTTCCCCTTCTCAGTGGGTGGAAACTGGGCCTTGTGGGCAGGAAGGGGGACCTGTCTCTTGGACTGTGATGGGTGAGATAGGGAGTCGGGGGCGGGGGGCGCTCAGGTGGGCAGGGAAAGCCGAGAAGCCAAAAGAACAGTAGCAGAGAGAAGAGGGGTAGGAGATGGAGTGGGGGGGGGCAGGTTGCTGGGCCATAGGGAGCGCCTGGGGGTGGGGGCGATGTGAAGGAGCAGGTTAAAAGCAGTCGGACACTGGTAAATTGGTGCGAGCACCGCCCTGTCCTGGGTGAAGCTAGTTGGTTTGTTATCTTTACCCACCAAAGCATTTACTTTGGTTAGTCGCCCGATCCACAAACACTTTCGAGGAGATGACATTACCGAAAGGGAGGAACATCTGCATCAGCTCAGCGTCCCCAAACTCCTGGGGCAGATGGTAGATGAACAGGTTACAGCCCTCGGGCCCTGCGGTGGGGGGGGAGGGGGCAGGGAGGAGGGATGGCAGGGTGGGGGAAGAGAGAGACAGAGGAGAGGTGAGCGAGTTAGGCAGCGGCAGCAGGGAGGGGGGCAAGGTTGGGAAGGGGGGTCTCATCCAAGATCCAAGGGCGGCCATGGAGGAGTGGGGACTGCTGGGCCCCAGCCTGAGCTCTGGTCTCCGCCCTGCCCTTGGGCAAATCACTGAACCTCTCTGTGCCTCAGTCACCTTTGCTGCAAAATGGATCCGTAAGAGGGTGCCTGGCAACTTGCTCCAGGGGCACAGTTGACGATGAGTGAAGGGGGTAAACAGCCAAGGCCTGGTCGGCCAGAGAGGGGAGGTGCTGAGGAGAGGCAGGAATAGGAAGGCCTGGTGGCCGCCCTCCAGCCCAGCCCCAGCTCCGGAATGGCCCTGGGGCAGCCCGGCCTGTGGTGCCAGGTGAGAAGCTTCATGTCACCTCCCACAGGCAGGCCCCAGCTCAGACTTTGGGGCGGCTGCTGCTTGGCCCATCTTCCTCCAAAATCTGCAGCCACTCCTTCCCATCTGGTGCCCCGCAGTCCCACCTTCCCCTGCCCCCAACCTCTCACTCAGTGCCGGTCCTGAGTGCAGAAATCAGAACTTCTCTCGCCTCCTCTGACAGGTTAGGTGCCCAGGAGGGGTTTTCCGGCACGGCTCCATGATTAGCCGGGGTCCCCGCGAGCCTTGTTACGTGGAGCTCCCCATTTCATGACAACGGTAACAACCCCGCCACTGCTACAGCAAGAACTATATGTCAGGCTCTTCTCAACACTTCATATGTGTGTTAAGTCACTGTGTCTCATAGCCGCCCTCTGAGGCAAGTACTGTCATTACTCCCACTACACAGATGAGGAAACAGAGGCCCAGAGAGGTTAAGTCACGTGCCAAAAATCACACAGCTGGGAAGGGAGAGCCAGGATACGGGCCCAGGCCATCTGCCTCTCAAGTCTGTGCTTTCCTCTCTACCTACCATAAATCTCCCCACCCCAGAAACCCTGAACGCTGTTCAGGCATCGACGTGGGCTGCCACGTGGCTTCCCGGCCAGAACCACATCCTGCCTCTCTGGCACAGGTGAGGCTGCCAGGTAACCCAGCTCAGGAGTGAGTCTCTCAACCCTCACTCTCCTCCTTCCTCCCTCCAAAGATCCCTTTGACCACCAAAGTGAGCCTCTGAGCCTCTGACTTCCTGGGTCCTTGGTCCCCATCCTGCATCATCTGCCCTCAGCCCCCACCCCTTAGCCTCTCCTCCCTGGACCACTGTCTCCCAGGAAAACTGCCTGCTGACGGCGCATTCAGAACCGGCACAAGCATGCTCCCTCGCCAGCCTCCAGGGCTCCCTGCTGCTGAATCCCCCAAGCTTACCCTGTCTCCAGCCATGCCATGTTCTCACTGGGTCATACTCTCAATGTGTCCCTTGACGGTCCCCAGATAGATGTGAGTCCCTTTTGGGCAGAAATCAGCTTGAAGGCCTAATCTAAACCAAACCTCCTCCAGGACTCCCACCCAGATTCTCCCCTTATCTTCTCTCTTCCAGTGCTCCCTAAATCTACATTCTGTGGTCTGAAGCTCTTTCTCCTTTCGCTCTCAGAGGTTTTCTCTCCAGCCAAATTGGGAGCTGTAAGGGCAGAGGCATTTGCTTTCTCCTGCCCCTCCCCCAGCACTGCCTCCCTTCCTCCTTCCATCCCATTCTTCAGGCTTCCCTTACCGCGCCCCCCCATGTAGCCACTGGCTTTGAACTTGAGACCCTCACTTCAACTTCTACAAGGTGCTTTATGTGGCTGTTGTGTCTATTCAACTTAAAGTCTCAAAGAGCCTTCCAGGTCAGGGACCACAGGCTTGTCCCATCAGTATGGTGTGTGGTTGAGCATCACAGGAACAGCCTCACAGCCCCAGCCTAGCTCCCTGCCCCTCACTCCTCCAGAGGGAGTACACACATTGTCTTCCACCCCCAAGACTTTCCTGTATTTCTTCATCCAAAGATTATACAGCATCCAGATGGCATCACCAGCAGGACTGTGGAGATCAATCTGGTCCCACCCAGCCTTCTGAGAAATGGTGAAGCGGAGCTCCAGACTCAGGAGGTGATTATCCTGGCCACACTGCAACCTTGGGCAGAGCCAGGATTGGAGCAGCCCCGAGGGTAACCTCCACCCATCTGTGGAGCTGAGGGCCTCCAGGAATTCATGCATCTGTTGGTTTTCAGGCTCAGCTCAAAGACAAGGTCCTGGAAGGAGGGTCTCTCCCACAACCAATGTGTCCAGGTACGGCAATGACATTTGTGGCAACCATGATAGAAAGGGCAACCACTGTCATGGCTGCAGGAACACAGCCTTCTTTCTCACCTATGCGTCATGCAACACTGTGGACATGGCTTTGGTTTGGCTGCAGCCCACACCAGCCGTCTCCTAGCCCGGTCCCTTCCCCAGGCCCAGGCTCACCTCATACTTTGCAGTACCCATGCTTTTGCTCCTGTTCTCCCTGCCTTGAATGTCTGTCTCTCCATCTTTATGTGCTGAAGACCTCATCCTTCAAGGCCTCCGAAGCCTTCTCTGACAGCCCCACTCCCAGCACCATGAGCTCACCCTTGTATGAAACCTGGTTCTATACACAGCTGAGTCCACAATTCACCCCTCCCCATGCCCTGCTCTCCCACTGTGACTCATCCAGTGTGCCCATCAGGAAGAATGTGGGCAATAATGGGAGATCCCACATCTGAGAGGTGGCTGGATCAGGGACTGGCCTCACCAGGTCTGGTCTGGGGAGCAGGGCGCAGGGGTAGGGAGCCGAAGCCGCTCAGAGATGGAAGGAAGATATGAGAAGGTCAGAGTGAGATACATGGGGTGGTGCAGAGGGTAAGGGAGGACAAGCAGGGAGTAGAGGAAGGTCTCATTCTATTTAAGGCCAGGGTTAGAGGCTAACCTGTATGTTGGTGAGAGAAGCACTGAACTGCAGGTGTGTGTGTGTGTGTGTGTGTGTGTGTGTGTGTGTAGCAGAGTTTAGAGACCCCTGAACCCACAGAGTGATGCAGGGCACTGACTATGGGCTGAGGGTGTGTCAGCCTAAGACCAGTGGGGTGATGGTGCCTGTGGGCACAGTGTTCTGGTCTGAGCTTGGATAGGCAAGACTGGGGCTCCTGGCTCCTGACCTTCATGGCTCTGATCTGACTGACATGGCCCTGGAAGAGCTGGACTGAGGGGAGGAGGGCAGGGGCAAAGCAGGCTCAAGGGCCCCAGCCCAGTGACAGGACCCTCTGGTGGAGACAGGGCTTCTGGATGCCCCCTCCCCCCCCCCGCCCCCCGCCACTCCAGCAGCAGTGGGCCCAGATGTCACTCTGAACAGAGCTAGAGCAGGCTGCATTCACGGGCTGTGGGCAGGGGCCCCACCGCACACTCCTCTGGGTTCCCGTGGCTTGTCTCTCCTGGCCATGCAGAGGTGATGATACAGACCTCAGGAGCTGCCCGGTGTGTGTAAACTGGGGTGACAGGCATCATGTCCAACTTTGGGGGGGGTGACGGTTTGGCAAAGGAAGGGCTGTGTACACAGCAAGAAATTCATAGGAAATTTCTGGACTTCTGAGTCAGACGTGAGCTCATTTGAGTTCCATGCTTCTCTAGCGACTAATCCTCACTATTCTCATTTTATAGGTAAAGACATCAAGGGGAAGGGGAAGGAGGTGGCCATAAACTGGGAGTCAGATCCAGATGGATTTGCTTCGAAGTCCAGGTTCTCAGCCCTCTGGGGCATGTTTGGGGCCCATCTGACCAATGGGTTCAGACTAGCAGACCCCTGGATGCCTTTCCAGGGCTCACCCTCACCCCCTGGCCCGGGGAAGTGTGCTGCAGGGACGAGAAGCTGCTTAGCTGACTATCACAATCCCCTGGCCAAATGGGTACCTGGGACAGATGCAGTGGCCTCACTGGTGGGTATCCCTTTTCACGGGGTGGGGAAGCCAAGACCTTGTTAGTATCCGTACCCCTCACGCTGGGCTCCCTGTGAGCAAGGCCACAGAATCCCTGAGGGTGGGCTTATTTATCCAGCCTCCCATGGATGTCTAGCCTCTGGAACGGGAAGACACTGAGGGTCTTTATTAGATCCCAGCCTCAAACTCACTGGTCTTGCCTGCCTTGTGCATACCAGGCAGGACGTGACTTTCCAGGCACCTCTTCTTCCACAAGGCTGCATAGGGACACTCCCACCCTCTCACCTGCCCATGGAGACTCACCCTGGGAGCACCAGCTGGGAGCACCCAGAGAATACAAGTTCTCCTGTCCCTGATGAACAGGCCTCCCTACTCCAGCCCTCTCCTGAGCATTCCTACTTCTTCCCTTCCTCTCCGCTGGCCAAATCCCACCCATCAGGGGACGGGGGATTCTTGGACCGCCACCTCTTCCAAGGCTCCACCTTCCTGCGCTCCTGCCACTTGGGTTTCCAGAGCTACCCTCGAGAAGCCCACCTCCATGCTTGGATTGGAGAATTCCCCATTTCACCATCCTGCTGTCTTCCCTCATCCTCCTCAACACAACACATAAACATGGTCACCTTGCAAACGAAATGCCCCAGCTGAAGGCCCAGGTGAACAGCCTCTTTGGGGACAGAAAGGGGTGGGGAGGGGCCTAGAAGCCCAGCTCAAAAACTCACCTTCTCTCTGTTGCTGGGGAATCATTGGAGGTGGCTGAGGAAAGGCCTGGCTTATCTGACCATAGGCAGCAGGGTAGGCGGCTGCTGGAGGGCCAAAGAGAAGAGGCAAGAAGGACAGACAGCGACAGTGACACGGAGAGAGAGAGTGAGAGGCAGGAAGAAAAAGAGAAACTTCAGTGTTGAGCTGTAAAAGCAGACCAGCTAAAAAGGGCATTTTAGCTTAGTCACTTAAGATAAAGCCAGTTCAGTGTGTGTGTGTGTGTGTGTGTGTGTGTGTGTGTGCGCACACATGAGTGCAGTTGGGGGAAGGCAGTTTTTTCTGAAAAAACGCACAACCCATATGTGTGGATAATCCACAAAAACGGACCATCAGAAACATTGGAATGCCCACACAAGATCGTCTATACCAGCTGGAATCCCCATTCTCTGAGCCACAGCCGACTCTGGCACATGTACCCTCCTCCCACTCAGATGGCGCCTGCGTGGGAGGTGGGGCACCACCCTATGTATGAGCTTGGCCTCTGGGATCCTGCCAGGGGGTGGTCCTCTGGCAGGGACTGAGTTGGACAAACCTGGTACTTCCTGCATTCAGTTGGAAAGGGTCAGAACCGGGACAGAAATGGCAGGCTCCTGGCCCCAGCCTGGTCTGCCTCCCAAAGGTATAGGATCTGAGGTCAGAGCTCAGGGGTCCCAGCAGGTGAGAGAGCTTCCCCTGACCTCCAGATGTGAGAGGCCAGCTTCACCAGAGTCCCCATATTGCCCTCAGGAAGACATTGCTGGCTCTTTCTGACCTGGCCAGACAGCAGGAGACTGGCTGGGCAGAGATGTTTACGGTGTGTGAGAGAGAGACAGAGGATCATGGCTGAGAGCTGGCCTTGGGCTTCCTACAGTGGCTGATCGACTTCCCACTCAGTGACCTAAAGCCAGCTGCTCGCCCCAAGGCTGACTCTTATCACTTCTCCTTTTTTCTATCACTGGCTACCTAGCCTCCCTTGTTCCCCATCATCTTGCTGGAGCCCCATTCCTGCTGCCTGGATGTGGCTGGGAGAAGGGGCAGAACTGCTTCTCTTCCAGGGTCACTCCTTCCCTCAAAGCCAGGCATCTACATTTGCCAGAGCAGTGACAGTGAACTCTGGCCTCGCCCCCAGCACAAACCAGCCCTGGAAACACCAGGTTGGAAGGAAGGTCTGGCCTCAGAGCTGAGTAACTGCCCCAGCAAGGTCAGAGCTTCAGCCTGGCTCACGTATGCATGTGAAGTTCTGACTACCCACCACTGCGAAGGGTACCAGGCAAACTCTGCCTGAATGCTAGGGAGCCCAAAGAAGGGGAGCGGGTCCTCTCCCAGGATAACCTTCCCACCCCCTCCCCCTCATGCCCCTCCGCTCCCCAGCTCTGAGCCCGGGCCTGGGGAAGGAAGGGAGCGCTGGTGCCCAAGTGTGGGAACGTGGGGACGTGAGGATACTAACGACCTGCATACTGCTGCACTCCCGCGTAGGCCTGCTGCAGGGGGTCTGCGGCGGTGGGGCTCTGGGCTGCAGGAAAGCCAAGGGAGCAGAAGTCAGTGAGGCCCACCCAAACCAGCCTCTCCCCCTCCGCACCCAGGGAGATGATACCAGGCTGCACTGCTCTCCCCAGCCACTGTGGCGTCTGCCTCCACCCTGCCTGGGAGCTGGGGACTCAGGCTTGGGGTGGGGCGGGATGGGTGACTCATGCAGAAGGCTGTGAAGGGATGAGGAGATGCCAGGGGAGGGCTCCACTATGAGTGGTTTGGTGGGAAGATGCCTGAGCACACTGGTCCTGGACAAGGGCTGTGGGTAAATGGGTGAGGGGGCTAGAGGCTCCCAGTGGGGGTGGTCTCCTCCCCACTTATCCCCAGCACAAGTCAGGGGCAGATCCCTGCTGGGTAAAATGAAGGGCATGAAAGACTTCATCCTACCACTCTGTCTTCCTGGGCTGCCCATGGCTGCTCAAACACAGGGGCCTCTCCATTATCCTTAGGGAGTTTGCACCAGGCATGGAGGCCTTGTACTCCAAGGCCATGGCCAAGACACCCTCAGCAGGGACCGGCCACACAAAGTCTGCCCTGTGTGCTGGGAAAGGAGTGGTGGCCACAGAGACTGAAGAACCACAAGACCAAGGACCTTCCTCCCACCTGATCTCGTGAGTCTGGGACGTCTACTGCCCAGTGTAAGGAGAGGAGCCTGAGGCTGATCCTCTGGCAAGCAACCTGGGAAAGCTGGACTGGGGCAAAGGCTTGGCTCATTTCTGTTGCCTGTGTTCCATCTATGGGACGGGTGCTGTGGGTAAAAGCCCAGCGAATGTGGGCACTGCCTTTGGTGACCAAGGCCACTGATGACTGACATGGTAGGGGCCTGGCCCTGGAGGCCCAGGCAGGTGAGTGGGGAATGCAGGCAGATCCCAGCCTCAATATGTCCCAGGCAGACTGGATAACACAGCAAGGCAGGAAGAAAATTGTCTGGGTTTATGTGCCTGGCAGCCCAGGCCAGCCAAGCTAACTGGTGGCATTAGGCTTTGGGGCTGCAGACCAGAAAGAATCCCCAAACTTCCCTTCTGAGCTCTTGTTCCTAAACCTCTCAGTAACCTTCCACTAGAGCAATAGGACCTGTGCTGCAGGGGAGCCGAGGGAAAATCCAAGGGGCAGTGGGCCTGGGAGACAGCGTGGATGGCAGCAGCGGGGCTGGGCCCAGGAGGGCACTGCTCAGAGCTGAAGATGGGTCCGGATGCAGGCCCCTTCCTGCCTGGGGTTGTCCCAGGACAAAAGCCCATCCGTCTATGTCCCTCACGTTGGAGCCTGGAGCCAAGAGCCCCCGGTGGTGAGGTGGTACTGGTGATGGTGCTTGTTGGGCTGGTCTTCTCTGCCCTTCTGCTCCCTCTGCCTGACTCCACTGCCAGCCTCAGCTCTCTGGAGAGGCCCGTCTAGCTTTGCCCTCTTGGCCTTTCCAGCTGCTCAAACACAAAGTGCCGTTATGTGACTTAGAAAAAGGTATCTCTTCTTCTGGCCAGTTTGATGGCCTATGCAAAATATCACCTGCAGCTCACCCAGCACAGTGCTCACACATTCTGAGACATAAGGAGTGAACGATCCTTAACAGTTGTGAGAGCCACCCCTTCGGGGGTGTTATGGGGCAATAAAGACCACACTGTGTGCTTCCAGCGTGATCTCGTGATCTTGATGAGCGAGAGGGGAGAACAGAGAAGCTCCCTGGGGCTAGGAAGTGGAGAAAAACATTTCTGAGACCCCTCTCTACTTCTCTGCTTAATGACCTCATTAGTAACTGCCAAAGAATGAACACTTTGAAGGATCTCGCTCATTACAGCGGCTCCAAACTCTGCATTTAAAGATGGTAAATTAATTTTTTTAATGTACTACTTTTCTCCTTTCCTTCCCTCATCCCTCCCTCCTGCTCTGGCAGGGAATTGTTTATGGGATGTGGCAGATTGTTACAAATGGGGGAGAGGAACATTTCCAAATTCCATGAGGGAAATAGCTCACAGATGCTGGTGGGGGTGGGGAGAAAACAGGTTTGTCAAAATCCAGAGATCCAGATGGGCTTGCGGGCAGGGAGGAGGGGAGAAATGAAACCACCCAGATGTGCTGGGGACTGTATCTCCCAGCCCACGAGCCTGAGTGGGGAGGAGCCCAGGAACCTGAGCTTGGTGGGGTCTCCCGTATCTCTGGCTTGCCAAGCCTCTTCCTGCCTCCTTTGCCAGCCTGGAGTCTTCATCCTTAAACCACAGTCCCATTCCTCTGCCCCTTGCCCCTTTACTCTGGGATTCTCTGGCCTCTTCTCTAGGCAGTGAGGGGAGAAGTGTGGAGCAATGTGGTAGGGGGCTGGCCCTGGAGGCCCAGGGAGGTAAGTGGGGATCCAGAGAGATCCCAGCCTCTGGGATCAGATCAGAGACAACTCCAATGCCAAAGTCAGGAAAGCCTCCTCTATTTCTTGCTAGCACAGTGACCTTGCACTCTGCTGCTGGTGGAACTTTCATATTCTATGGATGTCTGGGCCTCACTCCAGACACTGAAATCAAAATCTGTGGGCTTCTGTGATTTCACAAAGCCACACAGAGGATTCTGATGGGCAACCAGGGTAGAGAGCACTACCCTGCCCCTTCAGCTGACCTCCTCTGCCCTAGTTGGGCCAACCTCCTTACCACTCCCTGCCTCTGCCAGGCAGGCCCCTCTGCATTTGGGCCTCTGGGACAGCCTCCTCCACAGGAGGGCGGTCCTTGTTCATCCACACCTCTCTAATTCCTGCCCACCTGTTAAAGGTGATCTGGGCCTCCTCCTCAGGAAGCTCTTGATGACACTGTTCTGCCTTACTGTCTCATTACGCTGTCAATGTGTACTGTGTTCCTGGCTGACTTTGTTGACCCTCCCAGGGGATAGGCCCACGTCTTGTTCTCCTTCTGCCCCCCCACCCTTTCAACTGCCACAGACTGGGCACTTATGAATACTTACGGGGACTCTGTAACCTAATCATCTGCCCTCCAGGAAGGAGGAAAACACTCTTCACAACTCTATTACATTGCCCCTTGCCAGTCTACCCTAGGGTGTTAGGCCCAGCTTCCCTGCTCTAATGTCAGTCCATCCTCAAGTGCAGAGAAAGGAGCTGCTGCAAGTCAGCCAGGCACTCTCACCACGAGAGACATGCTAAGTTTGAGAGGAACAAAGTTAATCAGGAACAGGCCTTCTGGGTCTTGTGTTGCCAGAATTTAGGCAAGAAGCACTCGGGTGCTATCCATGATTCTGATACATTTGTCCGACGTGCTGACCAAGATTTTGTTAGGATTTAGGGACCAAACTAGCATGTACTAATCAAAATGTCAAATCTATATGCCTCTGCCTCCTTCCTACAAGAGTTTTTTTTTCGTACTTAATACTAAATATGACTATTCTTTTAGTGTCTATCCCCTCACTTCCTATGGGTCAAATTCACTCTCAATTAACTTGCAGTTATGAGCCTCTCTACCTCATTGTACAACTGTATCTGTTGTCTTCTCTTTCCTGACAGAGCTCCAGGAATGGGCTGCTTTCTCACTCTCAGACTGGCACCTCTCCCAGAATGAGAATTTGGTCTCTTCTCTCCAACCAGGGGCTCCCTGAAGGAGGGCAGGAGGCTGGCTCTCTCTGATCGCATTTGGGGTTCTACCAAGCAATAGACAGAGGGTAGGAGCCACATGTTCCCTGTGATAAGCGAGGGCAGGGACAGAATGGATGAGGAATGTTCTGCATGGGGAAGGAATGGCTACCAGATGTGCTTACCTGGGTAGGGATGGATGCCATTAGCAAACACAGCTTCCGCAGCAGGTTGCCCATTTGCCTGTGGGGGGAGGCCGGTGAAGCCGTTCACCCCAATGGGGGACGGGATGCTAGGCACAGCTGGTGCAGTGATGCCCGGAGGGGTGCTGCCACCTAGTTCCAGAAGTGGAAAGGGGTAGAAGAGGAAGGGAAGCAAGCAGAACCAAGGTGAGGAAAGCCAACCCATGGAGCTCTACCCCTTGGCTCCAAGGGCCTGGGAATAGACCACCCAACTCAGTCCTATCTGTGAATCATGCCTGGAGTTATCTCCCTGCATGATGACACCACTCATCCCAACTGTATCCATCCTTCAAGGCAGAGTCCAACTCTGACCCACCCATAAAGACTTCCCTGAACAGTGACTGCAGCATGACCTTGGACGTGCAGCACGTAAACTAGTCTCAGTGTCGTAGACTTTGACTACACTTAATCTTCCTTTCATCTTTTTCAGTGGATGTTGCTCACCCCAGCTAAGTTAGGATGGGCTGGTCTTTGTTTGGCCACTATGTGCCTTCTAAGTTGCTGGCTCTGCTCTCTTGTCTAGATCCCTGAGGGGCTGATCTGCCTCCCCACAAAGGAGTTTTGCTACTTAGGTGGAGGAGGTCTTAATTCTGATGTTCCCTTGCACATAAGGAGAGAGCCCTTTGCAGAGTCCAGATTCAGCCCTACTCATATACGAAATAGACACTTAGGCCTTCTCCATTGGAGGCAATGGTGATGCTCATTGTGACAAAGGTAAAGTCAGGGTCAGATGACAATACCCTGTGCGTCTCTATGCCAGGTGGGTGGAGCCCAAGGTGTGGATGGTAAGATGACTGTACTGGAAAGGGCCTTCCTTTTCATGTAGGAAGCAGGGTATCTATAAGGCCCCCGGATGTCAGGAAGTCTGCTAGTATGGTGTGGGTACAGAGAGTTGAGGAAGCTTGATGAATGAGAACCTGGGGTGTTGGGTCAGGGCTTGGGACTGGACAAGGGTTTCTTAATTTTGCCACTATTGACATTTGAGGCCAGACATTTACTTATTGTGAGGGGCTTTCCTGGGCATCGTAGGATGCTTAGCAACAACCCTGGCCTCTACTTACGAGACCACAGTAGCACTCCGCTGACCAGCTGTGACAACCAAAAATGTCTCAGGACATTGCCAGATGTCCTGGGTGGGCAGGAGAACAAAACTGGCCCAGACTGGGAATCACTGAACTCAACAATAGCTAAGATCTAATTAAGAACATGCTGGGGCACCTAGGTGGCTCAGGTCATGATCTCACGGCTCATAAGGCCCCACGTTGGGCTCTGTGCTGACAGTTCAGAGCATAGAGCCTGCTTCAGATTCTGTCTCTGTTTCTCTCTCCCCTTTCCCGCCCCCTTGTGTCCACTCTCTCTCTCTCAAATATAAACAAACATTAAAAAGAAAAAAGAACGTGCTTTATGAACGGGGTTATTTCCAAGCCTGCTGTCCTTTAATGACTCTTGAGGTTCTCTCTTGCTTGTTGCACAGTTGTCTTGGAAAAGCCAATGAGTCTAAGTTGGGTTAAAGAAAAATGAAAAAACTAGGGCTCCTTCTCTGATTAGGCCACGAACCTAACACGGCCACAGAATGGGCAGGGCTTTTTCTCCCTCAGACCTCAAAGGGGGGAACTGTTTTCGTGTGAATTTCTTTCTAGAGATCTAGAAAAGAAATCAAGATGAATTGCTTCCTGACATGGTTCAGTAACTTGAGTGAAACTGTCACCACCCTGAAATCATATCATTGACTGCATGGGGGCCCACATCCAATCTTCCCTTGGGCCCACACTGAATCCCCCAGGGATTAGAACATTTTTAAGACAAACTTCTGGAAGATGAAGTCTGCCTAGGCCCATACATCACATGCTCTGGCCGTGGGAAGGTCCACTAGTTGACAAAATTGGCCAAATAATAGGTCCCACCTGCTGCTTTCCTGCCATACCACATCCTGTGTCGGTACCTGCCCACTCACCTGAGGTTGGGGTCATGGGTGCGGCCGCCAGGCCATTCATGTTGAGGGCTGCCATCTGCTGCATCTGGGCGGCGGCAAAGGCAGCCATGGGGTTCAGGTAGCCGCCCTGTGCGACTGACGCCATTAGTGCCGCTTGCTGCTGCATCAGCTGGGGCAGAGGAAGTGGAAAAAATATCATGCGCTTCCAGGGGGGCAGCCCTCCCCACCAGGGGGCTCAGCTCCTGGAGACCAGCCTCCCAGGCCCTGCGCCCCAGGGAGTTCAGATATATCTCCCCACCCCTACTCTCCGAGACAACTGTACTCATAAGTAATGGTAGGGTCTTAGGGAAGTTGTAGAGGGGGAGGGAAGGGGACTGGCTCCATGGGTGCTGGTCAGCCCTGAGAAAGGTGAGATCACATCCATGGAGATGTGATACCCAGAGCTCTAGAGACATACTAGGTGAGCCTCTGTAGAGTTCAATTGGCATGGATTTGCTTAAGATGGTCCTACTTGGAGTCTGTTGGGCAGAAGCAACAGGAGAACTCCAGGCACCCCCAGTGTCCTCACAAAGGTGAGTGGGAACTGGGCAGGTTGCTGACATGGCCAAGTTTGGACACGGCTAAAGAAGATGTGAAGTGAACTTACATCTTTAGAACCGGAACCTTGGCCTATGTCAGGGCCACCCCTGTGGGGCGTGTGGTTACAAGTCTGGGGGCAGCTCCCGGGAGACAGGGACCGGGCTAGCTCCAGTGCAGAGGGAAGAAGTGGATGGACAACAGCATGAGCCAGGGCCTGAGGGGACTGCAGAGGAAGTGTGGATGTGAGGGCCTTGGGGCACCTCAAAGGAACCCTGCTGGGACTGATCAGAGGCCTGAGGACCCCGGTCTGTTCCATGAGTGAAGGCAGAAGTAGAATGGTGACAACCAAGCACTGGCTTCTCTCTCACCACTTCCAGGTGATCCTTCCTAGGCTCTGACTAGTGGAAAGGTGCTGAGGGTGCCCCACCTTGCTACCTAGCCTAGAGGCCTCTCCAACTCCTTTCCTATAGAACCAGGACAGCAGCCCACCTCCTCCTGGCAGCCACCCGGCACTGGCCCAGCCTTCTCTTAGCCCCCTCTGGTCTCTACTGCCTGGGTTCACTCCTGACCACTCCTCATGCCCCGGGCAGCAGGGTATTCTGGCCAGCAGCAGGGCTCCCCTCAGCACACTTAGGTGTCCTTGCTCGTCCAGGCTCTGAGCAAAGTGAGCTAGAGAACAGCTGTGCACACCTCCCCACCCCCCCACCCGGCTGCGCCCCCACTTACTGCCTGTGCGTAGGCACCGTAGGCCCCAAACGGGATGGCCATGGGGTTGAACATGCCCATCTGGCCAGCCATCTGCTGCATTCGCCGCATCGTGCGCTCCTTGTCGGTGTCGGCAAACTTGACCACCAGACTGGATGAGGCTCCCTGAAGCCAGGACTGCACGTGAGGCCGGCTTGCCCCAGCTGCCTCCTCTCCCAGCTGTCCTTGCCTTGGCCTGGACCCACCCCATCCTCTGGGGGAGGGCACTGGGGCAGGGGAGGGATGGAGCTGGGAGGCAAGTTGCAGCGCTTGCACTCACCCAGCTGTCTGGGATCTTAACCCCACAGGGGCATTTTTTTTTTTTTTTTTTTTACCTAGGGACAGTCCAGTTCCTTAGGTCTCTGGGCCTCAGTGTCCTTGTCTGAGAAATGGGGATAATGATAACGCCATCCTGCCTCTTGAGGAGGCTGTGAGCACCCCACGTGTGGCAAGGTGTGCACGGAGCTCAAGGCAGGGGGTGCCCTGCGGGGCTCTCGGTCCCTCTGGGGCCACCGCGCGGCCCCCACCTCACCCCGGGCTGGCCCCACTCACCGGCATGGTCTGGCTGCCGTGCAGAGCGTTGATTGCGGCTTGTGCCTCGGCGTGGGAGGAGTACTTCACAAAGGCGCACCCTGGGGGGACGGGAGAGGCTGAGCCATGGCGGGAGGGCCCCGGGGCCCCCGGGAGGAAGGCCACAGAAGCGCGAGGGCTGAGAGGCGAGGCACGGGAGGGGCCGAGGGGAGAGGGCGCATCCCGCATCCCGGGTGAAAGCAGAGTGGGTGAGACACAGAGACTGAGAGAGAAAGAGAGACACCGAGAAACACAAAGACAGAACCACACAGAGGCAAAGAAAGACCTGGACGGGACGGAGACTTAAAAGCACTTAAGTCTCCCTGCCCCTGTCTGGACTTGGATGGCGGCCTTCCCTTGTCCTCAGACAGGAGCGCCTCGCCCCTTCCAAGCATCCTCCCCGGGCTCGAGGTCGGGGCCTGCCGGAGGCGGCCCAGGACTGGCGGTGGGCCCGGCGGGGGCCCAAGCCCTCGCCCGCCCGCTCCCCCGCCCCGCCCCCACGCACCCTTGCTGTTGCCATCCGGGCCGCGCAGGATGGTACACTCCTCGATGTTCCCGAAGGCTTCGAAGAGGCGGCGCACGTCGTCCTCGGACTGCTGCTTGTTGAGCATACCCACGAAGAGTTTTCTATCTTCTGGAACAAAATTAGGAGATGCTTACCCGGGCCGGGGGAGCCGGGCTGCACGGGGGCAGGCCCGGGGGTCAGATGGTACTTGACCGGAGGGGAAGGGGAGGAAGGGAGGAGCTGGGCAGGGAAGAGGGCTCATAGCTGGAGGGGGAGGGCTGAGGCGTGGCTAGAGCGGGGTAAGGGGGTTGGAGGAGCTGCGAGCAAAGCCAGAGGTGGAGGTGAGGGAGGAAGGGCTGGGTCAAGGAAGCTGGATTGCAGCGACTGTGCCCCTCCCGCCCAGAGGGCAGGCAGCACACAGAGGGAGCTAGGCCACTGGTCTGGCTGCTCACCCATGCACACTGAGGGCACAGGGGTGGCACATGGGTCGTCTGGGCAACCCTGCATTCCCTTCTTCCTTGCTCTTAGACACTTACTATCATCTTCACACACAGATGCCAAAATTAACTCACAACAGGCAAGTCCGATGCAGGGCTTTTGCATTTGCCCTTCCCTCTGCCTGAAGCACCTCCCCATCACAAGGCTGAATTCTTCTCTTCCAGGTCTCAGTTTAAATATTGCTTCTTCATCAAGGCCCCCTGTTCCTGTCTCCCTTATTCTCTGTCTCAGCTTCTCCCTCTCAAGGCCCAGATTGCAAAGGACCATCGTTTACTGCTTTGCTTTGGTTTCTGTCTAGCTCCCTGCCCACACCCATGGATGCTCCCTGGGGGAAGAGAGCAGGCATACTGGAGAGGCAGTTCTTGGCACATAGTCAGTCCTCAGGACAGAGTTATGGAGTACATGAATGCACGCTCTATGTCATTCCCAAGATCACACCTTCTTTCTATCCCACATTGTTTTTACCTCTATCTGGTGTCCCTTCCTTGGCCTGGCCCTTCCTCGTTCATGCTGCAAAAATTTAGCCCTGGACATCTTTGGGGGCCCTGTTGCTGAAGTCTGGGCTCCCTCACCAGTCTCCCCCTGCCCTGGTGTTTAGTGCCACATGGTTCGTTGACACCACTTGGCTGTGTGCTCAGGGTAACAGCGGTCACACCGGACTCTGTGGATCTGCAGCAGCTGTGACTGCCAAAGGGTCCCCCGTCCCACAAGCTGATTGAAATGAGAGGTTAATTCCTTCCACTGAGGTGGGGTCTGTGCTCCCTTCCCTTGACTCTGGGTGGGGCTGTGACGGCTCTAACCCATAAAGAATGCAGAATTGATGCAGGCTGACTTCCAGCACCCTGCTGTGAATAACTAGGACTCACAACTAGCTCACACTGGAGGGTCCCCATGAGAAGGAACCCATCTCCCCAGCTGACAGCCAACATCGACCTCCAGACTTGGTAAGAATGAGTCTGCAGATGACTCCAGCCCCCAGCCTATGAGTCTAAAAGCTGAGGCCCGGATGCCCTGGAGCAGAGACCGGCCTTCCATGCTGGGCCCTGTCCGGATCCCTAACCTGCAGGATCCATGAGTGTAACAAATGATTGTTTTATGCCATTCAGTTTGGGGCTAAATTGTTATGCAGCCATAATAGCTGGAACAGAATCGCTATGGAAGCAGCACTCAGCAGGCCCTCACTAGATGTTTGTTGACTCTTGAATGACTGACAGACACAGGCACACACAGCCAAGGCTGCAGAAACGCACCCCCCCAAGTTGCAAATGGCCTTGAGTTTTGGTTCCTCCGAACCAGAGTTCTGGGCCTATGTCCCTCTGTACTCAGGATACACTGGGTCCCTGCACTGGTTCACAAGCCACCCCAGAGTCCTCTTCAGGAATCCCTGACCCCTGGCCAGTCAGCACCTCTTAGTGCAAAGCATTCAGCACCAGGGAAGTCCTCAGTGACAAGGACGTCCTGGGTCCTAGCTCTTTCCATGCCCTGTAGGGCATCATTGCCAGTTGTCGGCACTGCTTCTGGACCAGGGCACACCAGTCTAGCCCTTCACCATTAGTGGGCTTCAGTCAAAGCTCTGGGTCCTGGAGCCCCAGCCTTGCCACCTGCCCCTGCCCGGGTAAGCAGGTGGCTCCCTGGGCCATCCTAGGGCCGGGCACACCTCGGCCACATCTTCAGGGCTCACGGACTCCAAATTCTGGGCCAGGAAACCAAGAGAAAATGAGAGAGAGAGTGGAGGGGTGAAGCTGAGAAAGGATGGGGTAGATGGGGTTAGGAGCAGATGAAGAAAAATGGAAGAAATGTTGGGGCACCTGGGTGGCTCAGTCGGTTAAGCATCTGACTTGGGCTCAGGTCCTGATCTCACGGGTTGGTGGGTTTGAGCCCCGCGTCGGGCTCTGTGCTGACAGCTAGCTCAGAGCCTGGAGCCTGTCTTCGGATTCTGTGTTTCCCTCTCTCTCTGACCCTTCCCTGCTCATGCTGTCTCTACCTCTCTCTCAAAAATAAATAAAACATTAAAAAAAAAAAAAAAAGAAAATGGCAGAAATGGAGGGAAAAGAATTAGAAACAAAGAGCAGCCAGCAGAGATGGGCAGAGGAGAGGCAGACACAGAGGGGAGAGGGACGGTGGCTTATGTGTAACTCCCAGAAGCTGCAGCAACATTTTGCGTGAAGTGGACAGGGGCTACTCACGACTCCATGGTAGGCTTGAGTCATGAGCCATTACAACTTTGCACTCCCGGCCAGGCCAGCCTAGGGCTTCCCCCCCTGCCCCATCCATCGCCTTTTAATGACTCCAATTAAATGGGATTTCCAGGAAGGCAAAGAAGTGAAACCCCCTGCCTCCTGCTAATCCCTGGCCCTCCTGCTTAGAAATTCCAAAGGAAAAAGGAAGGGGGGAGAAGGCCCCTTCTCCGTCTGAGCCTGATTTAAATGCTGGTACCGCAGCCCCGTGCCTTCTCCTCTCTCCTGACATCTGAATATATTCCTTTATTTTCATTATGACAGCCTTCTGATAGCATTAAAATTCATCCACACGTGCTTTTCTATCCAGCCACTTCCCTTTTGCCAGTTTTTTCTCCCTAATCTTTTTCTTCCTCTCCCCTGAAATCTTGCCTTCCTTACAGTTCTCTGTTCTCAGTTCTAGACCAGGACCCTTCCTTCTGGAGGACTTTCCAAACTTGTAGGGGGCCAGGCTCCTCCTCTTCCCGACTACCTGGATTTTCCCCCCGGGGAAGCTGCAGCTAGCCTTGTCTTTCTAGAAGACCGCAAGAAACCAAAGAAACCTGCCCCATACTCACTCCCCTATGTGTTCTTGGTGACTCCATCCCATTCAAATGTTTATTGGTTCCGGGATCCTCAAATGCACCCAGTTTGCACCCTCTTTGTTTTCACTTGGCTTTGGCATGATTCTAAGGATTCTCTTTCAGACCAGAAGCTGGAAGGACTCTTGAGTCCAAGGGTGGATCTCCTTCTGGCCCAGGCCCACTGGCTTCACCCCAGCCCCACTGCCTTGCCACTGCATAACTGCTTCCCACCTGGGCCTTTGGGTCTACAGAACGGGAATAACCGGTCTTGCCTCATGTGATGGATGCTAGGCTTCCAAGAGACACAGCAGAGCAACAGCCTGGCCAGCAAGGGGAACAACAGCCCTGAGGACCATTACTCAGAGTTCTCTATCCAGGAGGAAGAGGAAATGGAGGGCCACTCCTCCCTTCACTTTCCCTGCCCTAATTTGGCCAGAAGGACCACCTCTGTTGTGTGTCCTAGATGGGGAGAGGTCACCCCTGGGGAGACCAGACTCATGCTGTGGCGGACCAGCTGAGATGGACAACCTCCCCCCCGTCACCCCACCCCCTGTGACCTCCTCTCCCTCTGGCTACTCTCCTGAGGCACTGTCTCTAAGTTGTGTCAGATGACCAGTGGCACCATTTGCCTAGTGTCTTGGATCTGATGCCAACCTAGTGAGAGTCTCAGAAGATGACTCAGTTTCCTGAGCCAGTCCCCACCCACTCCAACGTTAACACAAGACCTCTGACTCCTGGACAGGCTGAGCAGTCCCTGAGCATAGCCTGCCTATCTGAGGTGATGCAGGGTCCCTGGGTGATGGGGAGTCTATGGGGTTCTCACTCCCCCTGCAAGCCCTTAGCCTTAAGCCCATTGTCGGGATATGGGGGGTGTTGTTCTTCTGAAGAGGTGAGGCCAGGAGAGACTGCAGAGCCAGGGGTGGAGATGGGCTGAAGATGCCCCTGAGTGGGAAGTCATAGGGCCCAAACACGTGAGTAAGTGGAAGCTAGTGACTGGAACCCAGAACCTTCCCCTCAAGAGAGCCCTGCTTAAGGGAGGGGGCTACAGTATGCTCATATTCCAGCTCCCAGGGCTGAGCCCAGTGCCAAACCACCCCCACTCTCGAGTCTTCACACGGGTTCCTCCTGTCAAGGGGCAGAATGAAGGAAGCATGCTCCTCAGTCATTCAACTGTTTGCCGAGCCCTTCTCTCTGCACCAGACACTATTCCAGGCACCTTTCCCATGACAGTTACAAGAGAGATCAGTCTGCTCACTGGAGCTGCCGTCCATCCACTGATGACCACACAGGCCATCTGCAATAGACAGTTCCCGAACAAGACAAAGGAGCTTGCGGCTGTCACCCAGTGGCCCCCAGAACTAGTGGGCCCTCCCCACAGGCCCCCAAGACACATAGTTGCAGTCTCTCTGGTTCTCTTGACTTCCCCATCCTATAACCCCTTGCTCCTGCCTCCTTGCTCTTTTAAAACGTGAGTGCCCGTGTCTGCGGATGTGGGGAGCCCCCTGGCTCCTGGGGAGCAAGAGGTGGCACTAGTCTCAGCTCTGCCTGAATCCAGGGAGGGCAGCTCTGCTTTCTGTGCCCAGTGAACCAACGACCACTGCCAGGGAGGGGCACAGTCTGCAGCGCCCCCCAAATGATGCATGGGAAAAGTACCCAGTTCTATGCAGAACGAAGGTGTTTACAGTCATCTCAGAAGGGCCTGGATCAGAGCACCTGACCTCCCTCCTGGGTTCACCCTCTGGTGAACTCCTCTGGTGACTCCTTCAGTGAGCATTTATTGAGCACTTACTGTGAGAGAGGAAAGCCAGGAAATAGCTCTGGACTGTGCACC